CAGCCCGTGGAAAGGAGCCCATGCAGGAGCGGGTTTTCTGGCAGGAGCAGTGGCTTGTGGGAGACCCACACTGCAGCAGTTTGCTCCTGAAGGACTGTACCCTGTGGAAAGGACCCATGCTGGAGCAGTTCTTGAAGAACTGCAGTCTATGGGAAGGACTCATGTTGGAGAAGTTGATGAAGGACTGTATCCCATGGGAGTGATCCCACACTGGAACAGGGGAACAGCATGAGGAGGAAAGAGCAGCAGAGACAAAATGTTATGAACTGACCACAAACCTCCAGTCCCTATCCACCTGTGCTGCTTGGGGTGAAGAGGAGGCAGACATCATGAGTGAATTGAGCCTGGGAGGAATCAGAAGTGGGAGGAAGGTGGTTTTAGTTTTGTTTTTATTTCTCAATATCCTACTCTCTTATTAACTGGCAATTAATTAAATTAATTTTCCCCAAGTCTAGTTTTGCCCATCACAGTAATTGCTGAGTGATCTCCCTGTCATTATCTCGAGCCACAAGCTTTTTCATCTTATTTTCCCCTCCTGTCCTGCTGAGGAGGGGGAGTAAGAGAGTAACTTGGTGGGCACCTGGGAGCCAGCCAAGGTCAACCCACCACACTGACACACAGAGAAGGACTGACATCACTGTCCTCATCACGGTGCCATTCTGCAAGGTGACACACAGGACTGTGACTTCAGAGAGGCAGCAGAGGTGTGGAGGGCAAGGCTGTGAGGTCATGTTTAACCGGCCAATGTCCAAAATCAAACCTCTGAGCCCACTTACACAAGCCATGTGTCATCTGAAATTACACCTACCTCTTGAAGACAAACAAATTGCTGTAGAACAGAAAGGCCACGGGTGGCTAGAGCGTGAATGGCAAGCGTATATTCTCCACAAAACTGACAAGGTATATTGAGATTTTAAAAGAGACCTGCCAAACCACTGAAATTTCTCTATCCATCACTCTAGACAGCCAGAGAGATCTAGATCTACTTTGTAGAGCCCAGAATCAAAGAGCTACACTTCAGTCATTGTGGGCACAAGACAGTGCCAGGAGCAAAGAGAGGTAATGGGGTGGCCAAAGACAGGGATGCCCAGCACTGAACAATGCGTCTCCTCTGCAAGTTGCAGGGCATGCATTCCTTCAGTGGCCACCCCCACTGGCCAGGGATGTACGTAGATATCATCTTCTCCATTTGGGGTCAGCAGTATCATAGCTTGCTCAGGTTTCCCTGATATTTGCAGAGCAGTGGGGGATGTACTTCTGCTGGTCGAAGGTGTGAAGATGCCCCATCTCCTGAGGCCTTGCAGGCTCTCAAGGCTATGAGCCGCAGAGAGCAGGTTTTCTGGGTCGGTGCCTCTTCACAGGGGCACTGGGACTGGAGTCTGCTGGAATCTTGGACTCCACATTCAGCATCTTCCTATCTGAGCCTGCTAGTGAGGGGCTAATTAATGCTCTCTAGGGGCATGCTCCAGATGGAAGGGGAAAGTGAGAAACAGGCAGCCAGACAGGCCAACACTTCAGACATCTGAGCCAGTTGGGCTCCGTCGGCAGAGCTTTCTGCCTGCTGCGTTCCCCAGTGAGTCTCGCCTGCCCTGCAGCGTCACGCCAGGAGAACCTGAGACAGCAAAGCTCTGGTGTCCGTGCAGTTCCCTCGTTGCAACGCATTGATCGGAGCTCTCTTAAAGAAAGTGGCCTGGATATCTGAGACACCTATTGATTGCTCCATTGGCTCTCTTCCTGCCCTGATCCTCATTCACTCGGCATTGCTTGAATAACCTGCACTTCTGTGTCAGGGGCAGTCTCCCCAGATCTTAAAGGGCTACACTCACAGCTGTTCACCTAGCTGCAGCCCCTGTAGGGAGGAGAGAAGATGCCTGGTGACCCTCATATGCACTCCCCCAGGGGAGAGCCTAAGTCTCTCCTGCAGCATCAAGCTGAGCATTTCAAGCATAAGGCAGAAGCTTGAAGTCATGGCTACCTGTTTTTGCCATCTTTGAATACTGGTGCCTTCTGCCTGAAGAACAGGCTCATGCCACATGTCCAGCAGGCAGGAGCTGGTATGTACATCACGTATGATGACAATAAACAGGAAAATCTTTCCTCCCTTAATAAGAAGAGATCGTGAAGCCCTTAATTAGGTACTAATGGAATATCATACTCTTCTTCTTCAGAGGAAGGACAGTTTCTTTACATAGAAATGTCCCCACTTAAGTTGCCAGCTCAGTGCCAAGGACATCAAGGAGAAACCTGTCAAGAGAAGAATTGGTTTCTAGATCTCGCCTTTAACCACAAGACCATTTTTCTCCAAACTCCTAGTAATCAAGCAGGAGAAAGAACCTGGCTTAGCAACCTTCTGCCATGGATGAATCCAAGGAAGAAGACAGAGGTACACTGAGGCAAAGTAGGAGGGGGAACCATTGAAAGGAAAAAAAAAAATCATAGCTCACTTATCAAGACACATCTTGTCCTAATGAGTGCTTGGAGACTGCAGAATAGGCTATCTGGGGAAACCAAGACATCAGGGATTTTTAAAAACAGTCAAACTCCTAGAAATGTACAGCTAGGAACACTCTTGCCCTGACAGAGAAAAGGGCTGGATGAGCTAATAGGATGACAGATCAGAGATGGAAAAGACCAATGAACCTTTTCTAATTCAAAATCCCTTGTCAATTCTGCATTTTTGAGCAAGTCAAACAATTATGGATTTGTTCTTTCCAGAAACTCCTGGCTCTGTGGAGACCAAAGACTGTAAAACAATTTTTCTCCCTTTTTGGATTTCGCTTTTAAAGATGGGTATTGATTGAATTCTGTATACTAATACTTTGTGCTTCCACCAGGCTTCACATAAAGTTAACTAATCGGTCCTCACAATCCTTTTGCAAAGCAAAGCAGTATGATCCTTATTTCTCAGCTTGGGAAACTGACCAAAAGAAAGAAAAAAAAGAGATGTCTGCCCAACATCACTTGACCACTCTGTGTTAGGACACAGGAGTCCTATTTGCAGACTGCTACTGTAGTCTCCTCTGTTCCTCTTGATATTGTCATGTGTTCTTGCATCCCATTACTATCAATAAATCTTTATACTGTATATTCCACAGCTCTAAATATTATGGGCAGGATCACAGATACACTAACATCACTAGCAAACCACCCTTCCCCAGTGGCTTTAATGGTGCCGAATCAATCCCTACATGAATAACTAAATACACTTCAGCACACAAGCAGCCTTAGAGTCAAATTTCAGTTTGCCATGAGTAGTATCCCATGAGGTTTAGGAGTTCAGGCACAGCATGCTGTGAGTCAACCTACATTGGTTCCCAGCCTAACTCTGGCCTGGAAGGAGTTAACTGTTTTCACACAATTTTGAGGTTAAGCCACAAAACCCTTCTCAGGACGCTGCTCTGGACTGTGCTAAACTCCCAGAACTGGAAGCAGAGGATGCCCTGGCCACACAGTCAGACTCACCAGCGCTGGCTCCTGTGACTCTGCTCCCCCAGCTGCCAGCTCCAAGAGGCTCAACCGCTGGATGTAGGGCAGCACAGATACAGGGAGCCAGCAAGCCTGGACCCAGGCTGCTGCTCTGCAGAGTGACTGGAGCCACATCAGGCTTTTAAGGCTGTTTTATGGGATTCATACAAACAGGCTGGAGTGTGTTACCAACCTGCGCTCCCACTAAAGCCAGTGTCACTAGTGTGGATTGGCGTGTGGGTAAGGGGATAGATCTCCTCCACGAACTACCACATGCAGAGAAGCAGGTTTCCAGTGGTCCCTCTCTAACTCCAAAAGTAGGTGCCTCCCTCCCAGCAGTGGATCAAGATCCTCTGACACCACCACCTCTACACCTAGGTCAGCGAGGGCCAGACTAGACAAGCCTGTATCTCCTCCCCTTGGTAATTGGTGTGCCCTAGCAGGAAGATATTTAACCACAGAAAATACACATCCATCAAAGAACAGAACAGGTTTAACATCTAATCTACATTCTTAACAACACTGGCTGCCATCAACTTGCCTCTCAAGAAATGAGAGAGCCCTAGTGCAAAGCAGTACGCACTCAAGTGACATCATACAATTCATCACTAGTTGCTATGATAGTATGACCTGGAAGTAAGCTGTGTGCTGGCATCTTGGCTCCAGCATACAGGACTTGTGCAGATCGCAACGAGCTGCTCTTCCTTGTGGTTAAACTGAGGGGACCATGGTCTGCCAGGTACAGCAATGCAGAGGGTTACATGCAACGCTTCTCTTGCCTTCCCCCTCCTCCCCTTGATGCCTCTCCCAGAGAGGCCCAAGGGAAACAAAGCTTTAAAGTCAATCCATAAGAATGTGTTTAATTGCCACTGAATTCCCTGTGGTCCACCTTGAATGGACAAGGATTGGGTAGGGGGGTGGGGGAAGGAAAAGCAGCGCAAGAGAGAAGCTGAACACTGCTCAGAAAGTGATGAACAGATCAATAGGCTGAGTACAACGCAGGTTGAGCATGCAGGGCAGGGGACCCAGAGCTCCCAGACAAATCTGTGCTACCCACGATCTTCAGAAAGTCTCCTGAGTGGGAATATGGGCAGACCTTCATCGCACACTGTGCCATAGCTCTGCATTAACTCCATCCTTCCCTTACGAAGCCCAGCCAACACAGTCATGATCGCGCAAGAGCCTCTCTTCCCCAACACTGCAAAATGACCTGGGGGGCAAGAAGAACACCACCCTCCAGCCTGGGGTTCCTTTGGGAAAGGAAACAGTCTGGCACAGCCAGTTTCCTGTTGTTTGTCAAATTTGCAAGTGCTAGAAGTAATATCCTAGCATGAGGGCACTGACTAGAACCACTCTCCTCTCTGGACTGGCCTCTTGGGCACTGTCCATCCTGACTCTTTTACAAAGCCTGTAAAAAGATACCTTTGGAAAGCCAGAGAGGGCAAGCGTGTAGTTAGCCTAGGAGATCCTGCAAGACCTGGGAGTCCCAGGTACTGTTGGGACAGAGAATAATTCTCAGTCTAACTCTGTCTTACCTTCTTTTAGCATCCCCACTTTGAGGCATTTCATGAAGCGACAGGCCTGACAGGACTTGCGCCTCCGTTTCGTGATCTCACATTCATTGGTGGCCGGGCAGCTGTATTCAATATTCCCTGCAATCAAACACAGAGATGGTCACCCAGGAACCACATTCTCCCCACTGACCCAGGGACAGGCTGTAGTGCCCAGATATTCCCACCACCATCAGTCTGTATATGCTATATGTTTGCTCATTCGTTTGCACACACACATACTCTGAGACCACAGCCGGCTGATGATGGCTCTTAGAGAGCCCAGCACTAATTAGAACATGTTTCAGAAAAAAAAGCAATTTTGCTCTCAGTACTGGGAGAAACCTGTCCATCCAAGGGGCTGACTGCAAAGCTGGACTTTCAGGCACCATGTGTCCTCCAGGCACGTCATCATCCCTTGTGCTGCATCCCCTATAACCTGGCCTGTTCCTTGAAGTCTGAGGCTAAGAGTGGGAGCAATTCAGACATTACCAGCATTCCTTTTGCTGCCAGTCTTGCTCCATGTCTGTGGGATGGATGTCACCTGTCCTTTCTTGCCTTGCCTGGGGGGTGAACCAGGGAGCTCAGAGATGGCATTTCCTCCTTTGCTTCCTCCTGCCAGCTGGCATACTCCAGGTAGCAGGGAAGCAGTAGGTCAGGATTGAGAAAGATGGATAAGATGTCCTGTAAAATGAACACAGGCTCTATATGCAAATCTTTCCAGTTTTACCTTATTAGTCCTTGTGCACCTGCCTCTCATCCCTCTGCACAGAACATCAGCATTTCTTTGCTCGTTCCCTTTCATTTATGATCACCTCATAACACCTCACAACACTGCCTCCAAGACAAAACAGAGAAAGAAGCATCCCAAATTTGTTTCTGGTCACATCGTATTTTATCATATGCCAAGAATGTAACTGAAACATGGATTCTAGGGTCTGATACGAGGATGTAAGTGGAATTATGCTTCATCACAGTATAATGAAACAGTTATTTAGTCCTAGAAGACAACAAACAGAAACAGCTGTCTCCATCCTGCCATTCACTTTGGAGGTGATGTTTCTGAAGAGGGCTATTCAATATTTGCTGTGGAGCAGGACTGGAAATCTAAGCTTGACAGTGTTGCATTGACAATGACAATACACTTAAGGCAGTCTAGCTACTGGGTAAATCAGGCAGCTCCGAAACGGTTTTCTAAGCTCTAGTCAGTTCAGAAGAATGGAAAAGTTGGTTTGGTGGTTTAGAGCAGGAAATTGAGATTCAAGAGTACAATCAGATCTGTAAGGAAGAGTGCAGGTAAGAGCTGAGAGAACACACAGTATGGACTTCATATATCATCAGATTAGAAGTAGAGCTTACAATTTCGTAGTACTGGGACAGGACTTGATTTTGGTTCCTACTTCTGTAATGGATTTCTATGTTCTTGTGCAAGACCCTTCCTTCCTCTAAATAAAGACCTACAATCTGATACATACCAGTCTCTGGGGATGGTGATTAGACCTTGGAGCTAACTAAGCAGTTGGAAAGCCCATTGGGAATCTGAGTGGAAAGACGGTGCACAGATTCAAAGGACCATTTGATTTATCTCACTATGCTTGGCCCATGCTGGGTGAAACCCCAGGAGCACACAATCCCCAAAGCCTAAAGGTGATCTGCCTGCTAGTTATGAATCTTCTATCTCTTGTCTCTTGTTTTGTCATAGGACTTGCAACTTGCCTCTAAGCTCCAGTCCAGCCAACCCATTCCTCACCATTGCTCACCTGCCCCCAAAATGCAGTTTGTCTGCAGGAGCAGAGTGTGCTGCACAAGTTGCTTCCACTCAGGCTGTATTTCGTCATTCTGCAGCACCTGAATTTCAATAGCCAACAATGTATCAATGTTCTCAGAGAGCTGGCAATTGAGATTCAAGCTTGATCTCAAGGTAATAAACAAACTCCTGCTCCAGACACAGAGCTCCAGCACATTACAGACCCATGAGTACAGAGGCCCTGATCTCATGATCAGATACATGCTGTGCCCCATGCAGGAACGAACAGAGCAGGAAAAAACCTGGGATAAAGCTCAAACACACTCTCACTTTAGAAGGTTTTGTCTTAGTTTCAATGCCCACCTTTCTCATCAAAGCCAGGAGCAGAGTTCTGGAGAGATGTAGGATTTCTTGTTTTGTGGTCCCAAGGCCAAAAATTAGCCCCCTAAACACAGAGGCACTACACCACGGGCACTGAGCCCTTATAGCAGCAGGAGGCAGTGACAGCCCTCATCTGGCAGCTCAACACCCCTCTAACACTGTGTCAGGCAGATCCCCCAGCTTCCCCATGCCTCCAGCCCATGGACCCCTTAACAAGGAAAGTACTGGAAATGGTCTACAAAACCTACATCACGACTAAATGTGATGGTGTCAGAGTAGGTGGAGGTACTGGTTACCATATACACCCTGTCTGTACAGCTTAAATAAACAGTTCTCAAAGGCACTTCTCTACTGGGATCATGACTGTTAAAGGAGCAGAGCAAGAGGAGGGTGGGCACTGGGCAAGCTCCCCTTCCTGGATGGCAAAGCAGTGGTCACCATGTAGTGCAGCAGCCGTGTGGTTTGCTGGTAAGCACAGGAGAAAAAATACACCCAGCACTGATGGGACATGCCAATCAGCACGCTTATTGTCTCCACATTGAACACAGCTCACGCATGCCTTCCACACACTGTGCCCAGCCTAAAGGAAGAAAGCACCAGCAGCTGCGTCTTACAGCCCTCTCTACAGGCGCAAATGCAAGAGGTGAGGCCTGCTGTACCCTCTTCACACAAGGCAATGCTGCCAAAGTAAATGGAGTTTTATATCAGGCCCCAAAACATGCTCTGTGCTGCATAGATTGAGAGCTACAGCTGGGGGCAATACCTGCCATTACTGCAGGAAACAGGGACATCACCAGGGAAGGCACAATCAGCATTACCCAAGCAGAACTTGTCCAAGAAAAACTATCGTCTCCAAAACTTTAACAAAGTTCTTTGACTTTTTTTTGTGTGTGTGTGTCTCAATTTCTTTTATGGGTCCCGGGGCTGGCTGCCAGCACAGTGAGCTGCTCACAGCTCCCTGTAATTTCTGTAAGTGCCCTGTGATAAAGTGATGAGATTAACTCATCGAAATTCCAGCAGCCTTCCAGCGGCTGGCGGTCACACCATCAGCCCGGTTGCCGGTGCAGGGGGCTCAGAGAGAGCTTCCTCTTCATTGCAGCAGCTGGGGGTGCTGCAAGGCCCCGCACAAGAGCATCAGCACACAAGGGTGCACATGGACAAGTCTGTATGCCAGTATAAAATTTGAGTCAAGTCTCTGTGTGTCGTGAACTGTAGATTACGTGACTCAGAAGGAAAGGGCAGAAAATAGGATAATCTAATAGACAAGGCCTTGCTTTGAACTGTTACTTACTAGAAGTGATTTCCTTGACTTCGACAATATTGACATTCAATCTGAAAAAACTTCTAGGACCTCACTGATGCCACAGCACAAGATTTATCTAAAAAATGATTTCAAAAAAAGAAAGTGGTGAGTGACCAGATCAGAGTTTGGATTTGTTCTAAGCCTTCATATGTCACCTTGGAGGGCAAATCTCTTCTGTGTCCTAGTTTGCTCATCTGCAAAATGAAACAAGCAAGCACCAAACCTACCTTCTGGGGAGATCGTGAGTCTTGATTCATTAAGGTACTTTAAAGCCTTTAGATGAGAGATGCTAAGAAACAGACAAGGACTAATAAAGTGATAGATCATGGGTTTTATGCTGGAGAACTGCAAAATGACCCTATTTTCTGTAAAATTAAACCTTTGATTGTTAAACAGTTTGGAACATCATTTCCAGAGCACACATAATAGGAGTACCTGAAAATTGCACACCAGAGCTTGGTCATTCAAAAGGCCCCATAGTCACCATATCTCTCTGGAAGAGGAGGGACTGGGAAGAGAAGAATGCCTCCCTGAACTTGAGAAGCACAGTAAAGTTCCATGCAGCTCCTGCCTAAGTTACAGACAGTGCTCCTCAGGGGACTTGAGCTCAGAATTAGTACAGCACTGAGAGCACAAGCTGCTCCCTGCTTCCTGATCCTGCCTTTCTATAAAGCCTTTCTACAAGGAAACTCAGGGAAGATTAGATAGAAGTAGCCAAGGAAGTCTTTAAAGGTAAAACATTTTCAGCTTCTGTTTTCGGAAGAAAACCCCCATCTTTCCTCTTTTTCTGGTTTCTTCTTCATTGCTTTTCACCATTCTTTCCCTCTTCTCTCCCTTCCTTGCATACTCTGTCCTGCTCTGCACTGCTGCACACAGATGTATCATCTCTTTCTTTGGGTGGCTCAGAGGGCCAGATGGAGGCAGCTTTTCCTGAGTTTCAGGGAAAATCCCAGATTCAGACATACCTACTATGAAGTTCCAAATGCCGTTCATTCAAGTTATGTCTTTCACCCTAGTGATCTGGCACAGCATGCTGCAGTTGTGACCAACAGTCTGGTGCCACTCTCTGCCAGACCCTGGGGTCTGGGGGCTGAGAGCAGGAATTCCTGGGGAAATCCATCTCATAGGCACCTCAGCTCATGCATTTGTTTCCTTTTAGCCCAATTCTTGTAACAATTGTTACACTGCCCTCACTTTTTTTTTGTGGTTATTGTTGGTTCGTTTTTTGGGTTTGTTTGTTTAATAAGAACTGCTTGCAAAATACTGTAGCCTTAGGAAGGTCCCACTAGGCAGGCAGTATAATGCCTCCATGGTACAGCGATTCTATTCTGCATGACTGGGACAGTCTGCAGGAGAAAGCAACGTGACTTTTCAATAAGACAGTAGCTCTGATGACACTTTCATTTCAGTACCCACAAGCTTTTGTCCTGAATACTTTTCATTTCTGATTCTGAAGATAAATAGATCATTTGGGTGTCTCAGTGAAAAGGGACCTGAAAACTGTAAAAAGGCCTTTGGTGAATGTAGTGCCAGACCAGCAGTTGCTCTGCCCTCCACAAGCACCAGTCTGACCTTCTGCACCAGGACAGGAAACACTGATCATACGCTTGGAGTGGATTCTCTATTACCTTCCACTTAAATTAGTCATTCTAACTGAGCCATCATAGCCTG